AAGAAGAGAATAAAACAATACTATTGCATGAAATGAACAAGAGTAAGGGTAAGGAGGAAAAGGAAATCAAGTGTGAATAGTAGACACATGCTGGCATTTTTTGTTTTAGTTGTAGTTTTTTGTTCGGGTTTTATTTTGTTTTTGCAGCACTGGGTTTTTTTTTTTCTCAGGCTATCAATCAACTTTTCACCACTTCCTGCAACAGCAGGTCTGCAATAAATCCCGCTGTAACTGATTGGGTTTCATTTCCTCTGCCAAAGTCTACTAACCTGCGAGGCATGACACAGTGACACCAGAGCGAGCAGCTGATAATGTAATACACAACTCCTGTGAGGCAAAAGTTAAAAGTGCTTGTTCTCTCAGCCGAATGATTTTAAAGATCTTTATATTCTAGTTCCCAGGAGGGATAATTACTCAGTATAACACAGAGAGCATTTCTTAATCTCCTAAAGGAATTTTATTTAAAAGTGCGTGGAAAGGACGGAGACAACTGGATGGCGTGGGTTTTTTTTTTTTTCTTTTTAATGTTCTCAGCCCTTTCTAAATTACCTTCATTCCAGGGGGCAATGCAGCCTCTGAAAACATGTTCCAGCAGAATGTTCAACCCCAATTATAAGACTATTAAGAGAAAGGTGGTAGCTCAGCAGCTAAGTGTGGAGAGCACATGCTAAGTTCAGATTCCTGATGCTGCCACTTAAAAGAATCTGAGGAACCAGAGCCTAGAGAAACAGCTGTTGCAGACCTGGCGAGTGGGAGATAATGATGATAATTATGCTGAAGGATCTGCCCTTGCTCTTCTATATTCCCTAAATATTATCTATGTAGAAATATTTAAAAACGATCAAATAACATTGAATTCTCTAGAGTCTTTAAGAAAAAAACGACACATAAAAATTTCAGTTCAGTTTCCCTTAATACAATTAACACATTTTGTTCCTGTGTGACATAGCTATAGAGACAGGGAATTTAAATAAGTGTGCAGACTGTACATTTTTTTTATTTAAGAAGCAGGTGGCTTTCATAAAATGGGAAAAGATTGTAGAAGAAACAATTCTCACTTGCATCTGCTCATCTATACAATTGTCATGCCTTCAAACATATCATTCATGCCACGCTGACAGGGAGAGATGCTAATTGCGACTGTGTTGTTCCTACCCAGTGAGAGTGATAAAGAGGCATGCACCATTTCTTTTTTTAATTTGAACAGTTTGCATGTGCTTGTATTAATAGGCTTTTACCAAATTGAAGCAATGCCATGACTGAAATGAATGTGACCAAAAATGTAAACAGGAAAAAGGGGAAGTACATTCCCAAGCATACACACACACAAAGAAAATGTCATTGGCACAAAGTATTACAAATTAACCTTTTTGGGGGGCTCTTTAAGAAGCATATTTCCACGGCCTCTTAATTGTGCTGTGCTTTTTAAGCTAGGCTGAAGAATTTTAATTTTAATTTACAATGAAATATTTCTTCCTTTCTTTGGCATTCCTGAGATTCCATGAGATAAATACAGACTTGCTAATTTTCCCGAATTGCTCACAACTTCTGTTATTAAGACTATTCTTCATGATTGTCAGGAAGAATTTGATATTAAGCACAATACTGCAGTTTACTATATGAGCCTGGATTTCTGACCTCTAATATCCCATAAGATTCCAACTTATCCCTCTTGACATTCAATAGCTACATGAAACACTGAGGGTGATCATTCAGAACTTGGAATGATCTGTTTCTGCTTTCCAGCTACTCTTAAGGAAGCATTGTCTAAACTCAGTGACACATGGATGAGGGAGAACAAGCTACCATTTAATCCAGACACAAGACTACCATTGTCAGTAGAGAGTTGATTTAGGATTAAAGTTCAAACAGCCATGCATTCTTCTGAAAGAAATATATATACTGTATTCACTCTGAAAATGCAACTTGATCTTCATCTGTCACTGAATTTACAGGAATCATGTGAAGCTTGTATAATAGGGTATTGGGCATTTGTTGCCAGGACACTCTCAAGCATAATTTGAAGTGGTGATATTGACCTTTTTAGTAACAAAGCGTTCAAGAATTACCTCTGGCCCTTTCAGGAAACAGAAAATCTGTAAACCTGCATCTGTTTAATCAGGCTTGTAATTGTTAATTGATCTCAGAGTTATGTTAATTTTATATTTTTTTTAAATGTTGGTGGCTATCATGAGTAAATAGATGTAGCATAAAGTGTCCAGTGGTTTACAGGCTGCTGAATAGTATCAGGAAATGATTTTAGAATATTGGGGGGAGGGTGGGAGAGGTGGCTCTTTTTCCCTCTAATGTTTTAGAAATACCTTTGCAGTTTGTTGAATTCATATTTCTCCAGATTACAAATCAATGCAGCCTTTTATTATCCATATGGTTTAAAGGAGAATGTCAGGGAAAGTGCTATGGGATCAACCTACCTCACTCATTACAGTGGAAAGGGCCTATTTCGGTTCCCATCAGCCACAGAATTGCAACTAGAGGAGACCAGCCTCTAGAGGAGACCAGGAATAGCCTCTTCTTAGAGATGAAATCTCCCCCTCCCTCCCACTAATGGCTTTCTGGAAGAGCCTAAAAACTTGTCTACCTTTTGGCCTGGTGTCTGACAGGAGTCCGCTACATTGAAGGTGGCTGATGAGATAGAGAAAAAGTTCCACCAAGCTGATCATCATCTTGCTTTTAAATTTTAATTTGTAGATTTTTATTCTATTTTAACTGGGGTTGGTTTTTTTTTTGCTTTTTAACTTCTTAAACACTTTTTAACTGTTGCCATATTGTAAAAAATGCCCAGAGTCACTAGGTTGTGATGGACAACATAGAAATCCAATAAATAAAATAATAAAATAAAATAATACAATGGCTAGAGTCTGAAGAGCATTTTATAAAGATCTGCTAGCCAGCAATTCGGCAGCTAGGACATGCAGAAGACATCCTCTCTCAGTTGTTATTCAGAGGGATACTGCCATTAATCCTGAAAATACAATTTGATCATTGATCCTGATTAAGAGCAGTGGGAAAGGGTAGTACTTTACATTTTATTCTTCTAACTATCCTGACCCAGCCAAGATCTCCTGTCCTGTTTAACATCTACATCAGAGGCGTCAAACTTGTAGCTCGCAGGCTGGATGTGTCACAAACTGGCCACGTCCATCCCAAATTTCACATAGGGGAAAACAATCGTGATACGTCACATGATGACAATGTGATACCATGAGTTTGACACCCCTGATCTACATGAAGCAATTGATATAAGTCATCTTTAGCCATGGGGTGAGGTATCATCATTATGCATCACACTTCTTTTCATATTGCTTGCTTCACATCAAGTGAAATAAGCAATGCTATTGATATCCCGTCTTGATATCAACTTGGGGATTTAGATAGGGGACAAGAGGCTTCAGCCCAACACTGGCAGCTTTTAGGGCCACCAGCACTTAAGAATTTACCATCTTTAGTTTTGGGTAGGGTGGTACTGTTCCAGACACACACTGTGCACAATCTGGCGATCCTTGTGGAACTCATGATTCATGTTCGATGAGCAAATGCCAATCATGGCTGGGAAGAACTCTGCACAACTTTGAGTCATATGCCACTTGCTCTTATTCCTAGACCAGGAGACCCTGCACTCAAATCACTCATGCCCTTGTCACCTCCCACATGTATTACTGTAACATGATGTACATGGGACTGGCCTTGAAGAGCATCTGGAAACTCCAGCTGGTACAAAAATGAATGACGTGGGAACCTAGATCAGTACACTTTACACCTCTGCTCTGCTAGCTACATTGGTTAGCAGTTTGTTTCTGGGTTCAAGTCATGGGGCTGGTAATTACTGCTACAGCCCTATATAACATGGGGCTAGATTATTTGAAGGACTGCCTCTCTCCAATTACCTTTACCTGCCTCATCAGATTTAGCATAAAGAGCATGTTGCTGATCCCATCCAGCAAGTAGTATTGCCTGATAGAATCCAAGAGAAGAGCCTTTTCTGCATTGGCACCCATTTTTTGCAACATTATTCTCCCTGAGGTCAGATTGGCCCCAACTTTGCTGGCCTCCCAGAAGGACCTGAAGGGATGACTTTGTCACTAGGTCTGGGGAGGCCTGATGAAGTGGGTGTGGAGCCTGCAGAGTGGCTGTATTGCTACTTTGAAAATGAGTTCATCGTCCTGCAAATTATGCTTTTCACATAATGGGTTGTATTATGTTTAAGTTTAAAATGAATTTTCTTGCTTTTCTTTCGTTATTTCATTCTATTGTTTTTGTGTTTTTATCTTTGTATACCACCCACAGGCATGTGTGTGAGATGGGTGGCTATATAAACTCATGAAGTACAAAAATAAATCTAGTCTGCAGGGATATGTGTTTATCAGAGGAACAATGGGAAGGGAGAGAGGAAGAAAAGCTTTCTTGGCCCGGTCAACCCATTGTCCATTGCCAAGCCTAACAATTGGGCAGCTGTCAAAGCTTTCACCCCCCCCCTGAAGAATGTTGTCTCTCCTTTCATCCCGTCAGTACTGAATTTACTGAAGAATTTTAGCAATCATGGAATTAAGGTGAAAGGTGCTTTAATAAATCAAACAGACAAAAAGAACCAGAAGCATGATTGACGCTCCGCTGATGAATAATCAGAAAATCTACTCATGGGAGCCTTGTTATCTATTGTCTTGTGTATTATTTGCATTGGTTTAGTCCAGTGGCTTCCAACCTTTTTTTGGCCATGACCCACCTAAACATCTTTAAAATCCTGACACCCCCACCCCCACCCCGACATATAATTCTTACTTTACTCAAAAAGTGAACTCTATTCATGTGGAGGAAGCCTTATTAGTCATTAACATGGTGTAAACAAAGTTTAAATTGCCCACATTAAAAATCAAATTGCCCCCCTGTGGGGCATTGGGCCCATTTTGGGAGCCACTGATTTAGTCACTTTTGCATTTGTGTCATTCAAGACACTGAATGTTTTTGGATCTTCCCTTCCACAGGTCAAAGAACTTGGCAGCACTCGCTGAATCCGTGCAGAAAGCAGAGCTGAGTAAGGAGGACTTGGGTTTCGAATTAAATGAGCTGGAAACAGCCGCGCTTCTGGTACACGAGGAAGAGAAAGAGTTAAAAGCGATTGACGCAGGCAATTCTGAGCAGCAGCTGCCTCCTCCCTCCCGAGAAGATGCCAGTGAATTCGAGGACTCGGGCAGCACTTCATCATACGAGACAGAAGTCTCTGATTCGGATGAACAAGAGTCCTCAGCCAGTGAAGATGGGAAAATAAATCCTTCGCAATGCACACTCCTAGAGGAGAGGACAGCCCCACTTATTGACGATAATGGATTAAGGCGAGACACAGGGACTTTGACACTGGAGGATAGTAATGAAAAATCAAAGCTTTCTCTACAGTCTACATCTGTTTCGGGAGAACTGATAGAGGAATTAGAAAAGAAAATGCAAGCGGCAGTAAGGCTGACGGAGTTGCCTGAAGCTGCACCTTCTCTAAGGGATGATGGCCAGGACTGCAGCAGCTCTTCGCAAGACATGGGAACCAACTGCACAGCTCAGCCTGGAGGATCCTAATTACAAGGAACATTTTACTGGATCCTAATTAAAAGGAACATTTCTTGGAGGTGACTCCAAAGTTTTTGGGTATTACAGATGAAGCTTCTTAGACAATAATTAGGGAGAATTTGTTAATATATGGAAGCAAAACTAGTATTTTTTTTTTAATATGGGTGTCCCTCATCAAGATCTTTATGAGATAAAGGTGTTATAAATATATAATAGTAATAAAGTCTAATTTAATTTTGAAACCTAAAATAAGATTTTCTATAATCTTAACATTACAATAGTTTAATTGCATTAGGAAAGTATAAAATATGGAAGAAGGTTATTGGTTTATGGAAAAAAGTATGTTTTTGTATTTTAAAATTAATTCTTTTAACAGCTTAATATCTTGTTTATTTTGAGGTGTTTGTGCCTGAGTAGAAGTAAAAAGCCTTGTAGTTTCCAGATGTTTGCATGTAGTATCTTTGAATTCCAAGTTGATTTCTATATGCAGCATGTTCAATATCTGTTCAGATTAATGGTAATGTTTCCCAGTATTTAATTTTGTGGAATTTATTGGGACTTACTACAGACAGTGATGGGGAAGAAATTGGTTCAGTTAATATTTTACTATGAACCAATCTAAATTCAATTCTTTAAACAATATAATTGGAATCGAGATATCTCTCAATATTTATTTTTATGCAAATTATGAAATATAATTATCTTCTGAACATAAATTAGGTTGTGTATGTATGCTTAGCTATATCATACAGTGTGCATGATATATATTGAAATATTTTATTGTGATCATTCACCACCACAGAGGAAATCAATATGCGAATTTCAGAGGCTGAATCAAAAATATTGGTATAATTAGGAGAAATACTTGTAAACGTTATCGATGAAAATCAATAACAGCTAAGATATTTGTTTTAGCTATACATATGACAAAAAGAGAAGGAATTGATATGTATTCTCTTTGGGTATATAGTCAAAAATCCCACCTTATCTTATGTATATTTGGATGAATGAGAATTATAAGTACAAATACATTCTTACCAATCTTTGCTAAAAATGTAAAAATAAGATTAGGAAACTTAAAAACTGGGAGGGGGGGATCAAAACTCATGAAGAGTAAAATTGATAGATTTCTATCCATCAAAATCCTCATTTGTGAGATGTAACTATATTTATATTTCACTGCTGATGGTTAAACATTTGATTGTAGATTATCTTTATGCTACTGGTCTATGTCTCAGCTGAAGAAAATGTGATTTGCTGGCTAGAATGCAGATCTGAACTGTAGGAAATAATATAGTTGTAATTATATCAGTGGCTTAATAAAAGATGAGTGTGATGAGCACAGATGAACATTTTTCAATTACAGCTATATGCCCAAATCATGTTCTTTTTTAATATTATTGCTACTAATAGGCAAAGCTGTATTTTTTCATTTGCATCCAAGATGCACAATATGTATGTCAGTATTCATACTTTGGCATACTTTTTCATATTATTTGCAATTTTTCATAATGGATTTCCACAGTGATTAGTGATAGAAAATGCACCTAAGGCACCAGCTAGGTCAATATGTTTAGTTTGTGCAAATTTGAAAATAAAACTGTAGAGATATCATGTATACATACGTTCAAGCACTGGAACTGTTACTGCAAAATGTAAGTGGACCATTATTCATTTTCAGCCCGCCATTTTGTGACAGGCAATGAAGTATGCTTCCTTATTGAGAATTGACTGCTCTATTGATGAAAATACACTCTTTAGTCCACCTTTTTCCTACATAATCAAAATCTTTACTTCAATCTGACTTTGTTGTGACTTTGGGGGTTGATTTTTCACCCACACTCCCGATATTTATGATTGTTCACCCCTCAGAGAAAACAACAGCTTTCACTTTATGTTTTAGAAACATATGAAATTCTAGAACTAGTTTTTGTTTTGACTGAATTATGCTCTAGGTATGGCATAAGGCTGCCTCTGAAAACAGCATATTATGTTCAAGTGTTTCCTTAAAATAATATTAGAATGTGCTTCCCTACAATAATCGGTAACAGTTATGCTATGAGATCATAATGTAGCAACACTCCTTCCGCATAAGCCCAATATAGGTTTAACAAATATTTTTTAAAAGAGTGCACAGAGCAGAATCCCTTCAAAACTCAATCAAATCTTATTCCTATTTCAGTGTGGCTTTTAACCACCCTACGATCCATGATCACAACCCTCTCAGATATCAGATGATTGTCAATCTTTGTTAATCTTTACTGCTTTTCTCTCCAAATGTATTCATTTATTATATTTGTAAAAGTACTTATAAGGAAAAAAACATGCTTCTCTTTATGATTCCACCAGTTCCTATTTAACATCTGTGGGGCAGATGTTCCTACTCAGATCGTCTTCATACTTTCCCACAAGAGATGCATGAGATTATTGTTTACTGGTATTTATTAATGTAAAATATTAGCATTCTTAGCAACACCTGAAACATAACAGGTTAATTTCCCCTTGATTCCAAAACAGCTGCACAAATCCAGGAACAGATAAAGCTTCTTCCAAGGGTTGTTGACAGAACTACATGCTCACATATATTCAATCCAAATTTCATGTTCTTCCTCAAAGTCAAAGTGCTATTAAATCCTGAAGCTTCTTAACAAAAATTAGGTCTGGTGGCACTGAATTTATGATCATTTAAATCAACTCAAGGCCTACATGCCAAATCTGGCCCTCGATATGGTTAGATCTGGCCCACAGGGCCACTCTGGAGATGGCGAGGGAGTGGCCCCCACCACCCCGGCTCACCCCAGTCCGACTGGGCACTCCTAGGTGCACGAACAGGTGGTGAGCGCACAGGCTGGTGGTGCCCGGCAGCAGCTGCAGCTGTTGGCCCCTTGGCCGGCAGTGATGACCAGCTGGATGTGAGCCCAGGGCGTCAAATAAGCCAAGGGCATCAGGCCGGTCCTGTCCTTCTTGCCTCACCTTATCCCACTGCAACAGCAGCAGCAGCAGCAGCAGCCCTGTCCAGCAGGAGTCCCACCATTGAGGCTGAAGAGAGTTACAGAGGACTGAATTGTCCTCACATCAGAGTTAGCCAGTTCAAGTTGTTCTGTCCTGACCCAGCCATCTTGGGTCAGTCACACCCAGTTGATAGCCCTGAGTTAAATTTTCAGAGATCGCAGTCCATCATCTGGTTGAAGCAAAAACATCAAAACATAATGTGACTATCCTGGAAAAATAAATTAACAACACTGTGTATGTTACACAATATACAGAGATGAACTTCCATTGCCTGGAACTTAAGTTTGGTGTGACAGAACTATAGCATTTCTCAAAATACTGTGACTTTGAGTTGGCTTCTAAAAGCCCAAGGTTAATAAATGAATACGTAGTTAAACTTTCTATCTCATGTTAATAAATATGAATCTTTTATTGATACTTGATAATTGCAGATCAAATCTGAGGTGATAATTTTTTTCTAGAATAGAGCAAATTGGTTAGAGAAGCAGGATCAACAACCACAAAAAAGCAATAGGTTTATTTTATTTTGAATGCCATAGCCTCGCAGCCTCTACATAGCCTGAGTGGAGTCATTGTTTATTATTAATGATCTACTAAAGGGGGAAACACCCCCCCCCCCCAGAATTAGTCTTTCTTTATGTTTTGCTTCTCAGTATGTCTGGCAATTGACTATACAATAAAGCAGAATGCTGGTTAGACTGAAGTCATGTGAGAGTCAATTCAGTAATCCTTTCAAATGAGTTACTGGGCCAAATCAGTTGTGTCTTAGTGTAAACAGAAGGCCTGTCAGTTCAGATTATCTAAAGTAAATTCTGACTAAACTTTTAGGGGAGGAAAGCCTTCTGGATGATACCCCACACTCTTATAATGGTAATGTGCTACATTAGTTTTTACTTGGCTTTGAATCTCTCTCATCCCAGGAACTTATGTAGAATTTATTTTGGATCAAGTGAAGGTAACACTGATGAGGTTCTGATTGTTTCAATAAGCAACAAATGTACCAAGGCAATTGATTTGTAACTTTTGAGTGTGCAGCTTGCCATCAATGACAGAGCTAAATGTTCTGAAAACTGTGTGTCAAGGCCAAAGAAAACAGGGGAAATGTAGGTCAAGCAGATAAATGGGTTGGCTGTTTACGAGCTGTTTACGAGTGGGACTTTCTCTGATCAGGCAGGACATCCTCAAAGCAGCTCAGAGGAGTAGAATGAACATAGAAACTGGTTCCCAATCTCTGGGAGTACCCACATCCCTAGTGGGTGCGAGATGGAATTTCAGGGGACGTCTATTAGTGACAAGTGACAATTACATGTAGTCCTTGACTTATGACCACAGTTGAGCCCAAAATGTATGTTGCTAAGTAAGACAGTCAATAAGCGGGTTTTGACCCATTTTATGACCTTTGTTGCCACAGTGGCTAAGTGAATTACTGCAGTTGTTAACAGTAGTAACATGGTTATTAAGTTAATCTGGCTCATTGACTTTGCTTGTCAGGTCACAAAAGGGGATCACCCTGGGACCCTTTAGCCATCACAAATATGAATTGGTTACCAAGTGTTTGAATTTTGATCACATGACCACCAGTGGTGGGTTGCTAACCGGTTTACTACTGGTTCACTCGTACTCATGTGCGTTCTTGCACACATGTGCAATGCTTCTGCACATGCTCAGAAGCGGATGGGCGGAGGCTCCCATCACCGCCACTACCGGTTCAGCCGAACTGGGCCAAACTGGGAACAGTCCACCTCTGATGACCACGGGGATACTGCAACAATTTAAAAAAATTAATGTAAGTCATTTTTTTCAATGCCGTTGTAACTTTGAACGGTTACTAAATGAACTGCTGTTAGGAGGATGAAGGTTCGTTCTCTGAGCTTGTGGGTTGCTTTTCAAACATTTTGTTATCAGGCTAGGTAACATCTTCAGTGGACCGACTGGCCCTAAGTAATCCAACTGGCTCTATGCCCAAGGTGGGACTAGAATTCCTTGTTTCCTGGTTTCAAGCCTGATGCCTTAACAGATAGTCCTTGATTAATGGCCACAGTAGAGCCTGCCAAAGCAAGTTATCACATGATTCGGCTGATTTTACAATCTTTTTTGCAGCATTCATTCAGTGAATGTGGCGGTTGTAGTGTGAATGCTGTAGTTGTTAAGCGAACACCACAGTCATTAAGCAAACTCATTGTTCGGTGTTGTGGCCCAGCAGGAGCCGTTGGAGCTGCCACCAGACTCCGACAGCGAGGGGCCCTATGAGTCGGCCCTGGAAGATGTGGAGGATCCCGACTCCAAGCAGGGCGCAGAGAGACTTGTTGGCCACCAGGTGGCGCCTGAGCCTTGGANGAATGTAACTAACTTGGCAGGCTGGATTGCTGCCAAGGTTTGTCTGAATTGCTGCCAAGGTTTGTCGGACTTGCTGCCAAGGTCCTTATCTGTTTGTTTGCTTGGCTTTCAGCCATCGAGATTCTGGTCTTGTTATTAAAGGACATTCTAATTAAGCTTGTCTCGGCTTCCGTTACTGGACGGAGGAGGGGGTCAGAACAGCGCTATAAGCCAACATGACAGATTTTTGATAACTGGTTCATATACAGAAAACGATTCTTGACTCAAGAGGGAAACTTACAGGAAGATTCAGGAATGTGTTGAAGAAGTCTGTAAATATTTCATCTTTTAGCAGAACGGACAAACGCTTGCTGGCAATCAACTCTGAAAAGAGGAAAAGCAATTATGACCTCAACGAGCAGAAAATGTGAACTGGGGCTGATATATGATCATCCCTGGGAAATTTGCTTCCGTATTCCCACAAAGAAACTAGACTACCCCACTAAGCCTATATGCTCAATTTTCAAAGATGGTATGTTGCAGGGCCTCAACTAAATTTATTGTTGTGGCAATTCACTCCTCAGAAATACACCCTTGGAAGATGCCAGTAGAATGTCCATCTCATCTGGAACTTATGAAGTGGTAAAAACTCTATGTTCTATCTGTTCTTAAAGGCAAGGCAGATCAGGAAAAAGATTGCACAAGATTAACTGGAGCTATGGTCTATTGTTACAGTGTATAGTAACATACATTTGTCGCCTGCACTTTGTGTAACTATCTTTTTTACCTAGTTTCGGCAAGGTCATCTCTTTTTGTGTTCAGAATAAGACTATACTCTCCAGCCTTCATTGCAGAGGAATATATAGGCAGTAGTGGGTGAGATAAATTGATACAAGCCTTTTGCAAATAACCGATAAGAGGTTAATTAGGGAAGTACAGCTGTACCCTTCTTGGGGAGAGGGGTCATTAATTGGGAAGACTGACACGTCTTGAGCTGTGGGAACCATCCCTGATTCCAAATCTTTGCAAATTGTTGAGAATCAAGAGACAGAGAGGTTGATTTCTATTGCCACCTAGGGGTTCTTTGCAGAAAGATGGAACAGGAATATGAAGGGCAGACAACTCACTAGCTGTATTCATGTTGAGCTTGTCCTGAAGAAGACTGCTCCCGACTGAGCATTCTGTTATGTTACAATGCATTAGATCTCTTGTTGTTCCAGCAGGTTCCACATTCCACCAGGACCCTTTCCTCCAATCAAGATCTCTCCAAATGTTTTCAGGTTGTATCAGTTCCACTTCAACAGTTTTCTTTTACACAGTTCCTCTTCTTACCTACCAGCCTTAATCCATCTCTTTGTAAAATCAGCTTCCTAGAGAGCTCCCAAGGGGATGGAAGAGGAGGAGATGATGCCCTACAGCTGAAAAATCTCATTTCAATAACCTACATTTGGTGTGGAGAACTTTCCACGCGGTTCACGTTTATTTTTCATATTTGTATATCCGCCCATCTCACCTAATGACTCTGGGGGGCATTCAATGGATTGGAGACCTGAATGTACAGGCCTCCTATGCAGGATGGCCTAGAGACATTAATCTTGTATGGATACATATAGTGAAATATGGGACTCATTCACACAGAATCCAGTAGGTTTAAAAAATAATAATAATTATATGCATATATTAGAAATACTTATCTGCTTGAATAATAATTTATTAGATAATTGTTTATAGAGTTTTAGTTCCTCCCGACTCTAGGGGGCAGTGCTCATCAAAGCCGTTTCAAAACCAAAGAGCCAGAGCTGTCCGAAGACGTCTCCGTGGTCATGTAGCTGGCATGACTAAACGCCGAAGGTGTTACCTTCCCACCAAAGGTGGTTCCTATTTTTCTACTATTTTTACATGCTTTCGAACTGCTGGGTTGGCAGAAGCTGGGACAAGTAATGGGAACTCACTCCATTATGCAGTGCTAGGGATTCAAACCACTGAACTGCCAACCTTTCTGATCAACAAGCTCAGTGCCTTAGCCACCGAGCCACCGATTTCTATTAAAAGCACTTATTTGTTTGTTTTTTTTGTTTTTTTTACAATGCATATATTTTTATTTTTGTGGGTTTTTTCCCCATTTCTTTTTTGTCACCATTTTAAAGGCAATAAAAGACTAAATTAAATGTATAAAGTAATAAGGGGTGAAGACAGTAGTGGGTTTCAAAATTTTTTAGAACCTCTTCTGTAGGTGTAGGCCTGCTTTGTGGGAGGGGCTTGCTGGCCATGTGATTGGGTGGGAGTGGCTTGCCGGCCATGTGACTGAGTGGGAGTGGCTTGCCAGCCATGTGACTGGGTGGGAGGGGCTTGCTGGCCATGTGACTGGGTGGGAATGGCTTGCCAGCCATGTGACTGAGTGGGAGTGGCTTGGCGCTTAGCAATCAAAATGTTGGCTCAGAAATTCTGGCATTTGAAGCATGCAAGCTGTCAAGTTACAAGACCCTTGCACCCCTAACCCTTTAGAAAAAAAANTCTCGGCTTTCATTACTGGACGGAGGAGGGGGTCAGAACAGTTCGGTATGAAATATTTTTGCTGAAAACCAAAATTAAATGTTGGCTTTTGACAAAAATGTCATAAATCACAGGATGCTGCAAACAGCTGTAAAAATGTGGACCGGTCATTGAGCACTTGAAATACAGTGACATGACTGCCTGGCAGGGTGGAGGATGGGGGTGGAGCTATTGGAACAGGGCTATAAATACCTTTGGGGGAGGAGTGTCTGTTGTAATCTCAAACTATTATTAAGTGACCGGTCATAAGTCAAGGACTATTTGTTCATCAAACTGGATATCAGCTGTGCTGATTAATTGGTATTATTTGATGTCATTTGTGTTTGTCTCTATAAATATAGACTTACTGCGTGTTTAATCCTTCAGTCCTGTGAACGCCTATCAGTTTTCCCGAAGTAAAAAACATGCAGCAGCAGCAATACAGCAATGCAGCCCTTCTGCCTAATTGAAGTCAGTGGGCACTTGCCTATCCACGGTTTTAATAACAGATTGCTTAGCATCTTGGCAGCTGAACTGCGAGTTGTCCGTATTGGAAAGCTGAGAATCTGAGACGTCAGGCAATAAAGCTGTCTGGGAGCTCTTCAGGCAGCAG